CGGGGTTCCCCTTTCCTCCGCTGCGCGCTTCGGCGGCGCCGTTGGCCCTCCGGGCCCCCCCGCTGGGCCGCCTGGGTCCGCGGATTCCCGTGGGGGGTCCGGATGGTGGCGGGATGGGCGGGGGACGGAGCTTACCGATCGTAACAATAACAATAGCAATTTTTACGATATTTCTGATTCCAATAACTGTGCTGGGGGGGGCGGGTCGTTGCCTCCCCGTCTCTCCGCCCGGGGGTTCTCCCCGCCGAGGGCTGGCCCTGGGACCTCTGGACCCGCGCCTCCCTTGCTATTTCCAAATGGCAGGGTTCCCTCCGTTTCCGGAGACAGGGTGGCCGTGGGGGGGCCGGCGGGCTCGCCCTTTCTTTCGGCGATCGGGGGTTTCCTGGGGTTGGACCCTTCTCAGCTTGACTTGATTGCTCAGGTAATGAGCATGCTACTTGAAAAATTGGTGCCTATACTCAGACTCTTTGGCGTCCATGACATGGTGAGCAGGCTGTTGGACGGTTTTGTGACTGTGCCGACGGGGGGGCTTTCGAGGGGCGAATTTCCGCACAATGCCTGACTCCACTTTTTCCGGTGGCTTGGTCTCTGCACCCCTTGCCGTTCTCCAGTGGAATTGTCGCTCCATTTCAAATAAACTTGACGTTTCCCCAGCGTTGTTTGGGGAATATGATGTATTAGCACTCTCCGAAACCTGGTTGACCGTCAACTCAAATCTTAAATTGCACGGTTTTGACATTTTTCGAAAAGATTCGGATACTCGTCAGGGAGGGGGCCTCGCCTTGGCGATTCGTTCCTCCTTGCCTTATTCTTACCTAGATAACTCTATCACATTTGAGAATAGACTACTAACACAAGCCATTTCGATCCATTATACTAATTATAATCTCATCATAATTTCTATTTACAGATACCCTTCTGGCTCTCTAACTCCTAATGAATATGACGCCTTATTTTCATTTTGTCGCTCTTTCTCTCACGTTATTTTGTTAGGCGACTTTAACGCACACCATCCTGAATGGAGTGGGGGACCTCCGGACGCGGAGGGTGAATTACTGTTCTCTTCGGCGGTGGAGGCCTCATATACTTGTTTGAATGATGGCTCGCCCACATTCATGACGAGACCAGGACAGAGATCCTCAGCCATTGATCTCACGTTTATCTCTTCCTCTATTATTGGACTCTGCGAGTGGTCAGTCCTGGAAGACACCTTTCTTAGTGACCACTTCCCAACCGCCATACTTTTTAACCGTCCACCTGTCAGAAAATCCTTCTTCTCACACAAACTCAAACACTCCAAATTAATGGACGAACAATTTGCTGAGAACCTTTGCTCTTCGCTGGATTCGTTGAAAGAAACTCTCAGCGACCCGTCGTTGAGTTCGACCCAGAAATACAATTACTTCACAGAACATCTTCTTTATCATTGGCCTTCCTCTCCTCATAAACCGCCTTCACCCGAGGAGCGTCCGTCTCGCAGGAGGAGAAGAAGATTCTCTCCGCCATCGCCTTGGTGGAACGAGGCGTGCCAACAGGCCGTCAATATCAGACGCTCCCTCCTCTCCACCTTTAAAAGGCAGCCTACTCTCCAGAATTACCTTGCTTTTAAGAAACAAGAAGCCATAACTAAGAGAACGCTGAAAGCGGAGAAGAGAAGAGGCTGGAGAGAGTTTTGCAGCAAGCTCAATCCTGATACACCCATCTCTTACCTATGGCGATTCATCAGGCGATTTAGATCCCGCCATTTTGAGCCTACAGTCACGCCTTCCTCTAACTCTGACCACTCGCAGTCTCTTCAGAGAGCTATTGACTCTCTCTGCCCGCCATCCGCCTTTTGTCGTGCGTTTTCATCCATTAACGACTTTCCAACTACCTATTCTTGCAAGATATTTGACGATCCTTTCACCATTCAAGAACTAACTTCAGCAATACGCAACTTAAAAATTCACACATCCCCTGGATATGACAAAATAGATAATAAAATGCTCACTATATTACCAGAAGAATATTTACTCCTTTTGCTCGATATTTACAACTCTATCTTTAACTCGGGATCTTTTCCGGATGCTTGGCGTCATTCTCTGGTATTTTTAATACCCAAATCTTCATCCGGTAAATTCCGGCCTATATCTTTAACGTCATGCCTTCTTAAACTTTTTGAAAGGATCGTCCTATACCGCCTCGGATGGTGGGTCGAGTCATCCCTTATCCTCCCTTCCTTCCAATTCGGATTCCGCAAGAGATCCTCATGCCTTGATAATCTGGGTATCCTATGTACAGAAATACACCAAGGCTTTGTTCGGAAACAGACAACGTGTGCACTTTTTCTCGACATACAGGGAGCATTTGACAATGTCAACCCTTCTATCTTGACTTCTTATCTCATTGACGCGGGTCTTCCACCCAAACTTTGTTGGTTCGTTTACCAGCTAACCAGTATAAGAGAATTGCAATTTGTTATAGATGGCAGTCTGACGGAGCGACTCTTCTCACACAAGGGCGTGCCACAGGGATCAATTTTGAGCCCGATACTATTCAACCTCTATCTGTCGGGTTGTGGATCTGTTTTGACCCGGGACTGTCGTGCGGTTCAGTTTGCGGACGATATCGCCCTGTATGCCCGGTCGTCTGACGTCGCGTCCTCTCTGTCGACGCTGGAGCGATCCGCGGGTGCTCTCTCTGCATTCTTGCTTGAAAGGGGTCTGGAGGTCTCCCCCCCCCAAGTCTTCTTTAGTAATTTTTTCCAAAAAAAGAAATATTCCGGCGAATAGCTCTATTCGTTTGGGCGACTCCAGCCTTTATCCTGCCCCCCTTGTCAGGTTTTTGGGGGTCCTTCTTGACTCGCGCCTCACGGGGGGCAGACATGCCGAGGGAATCATTGCTAAGTGCAGCAGGCTCTCTAATATTATTAAATTTTTGAGAGGGGTTTGGTGGGGCTTCGATCCCAGGACCCTCCTAGGCATATATAAGGCCCTGATAAGGGGATCCTCTGACTACGCCTCCTTTTTATTTCCTTTCCACAGCAAAGCTCTCACGGAGCGATTTGAGCGGGTATCTCGCAGGGCTATCAGGTACTGTATTGGTCTGAGGAGCTCTACCCCATGCAACATTGTATATGCGGAGACGGGCATCTGCCCGGCCCGATTCAGATCTAACTACCTAGCACAGAAATTTTTAATCAAATCTTACGCCACTAGACCTAATATCTTGATCAATAAACTCCTAGATCTTCATTTCTCGCACTTAGAAACGGGCTACCGAATCGACCTCCTCAATAAATTCCCACTTTACCGGGCTTTTCGTTTTGTAAAGGATTATAAGCCTAGAATTGCAGCCTTTTCAAAAATACCGCTGTATTTGTTCTCCTACGAGACTTCTACCTTTGCTCCGAAAATAGACTTTACGCCTCCATTAGTTGTTGATGATATCTGTTCTGCATCTTGCCCTCAGCTTGTTTTCCTTTCGCACTTTTCATATCTTATCGGGGACAGGTGCTCCTTCTTCACGGATGCATCCAAGTCTAAGTCGCTCCCGCATTTAGGCGCCGCTTTCTATTCTCCTGATATTCCAATACAGAAGAAATACAAGCTTGATAGATATTTCTCAATTTTTTCAGCAGAATGTATCGCTATCATCTGTGCTATGGACTACATCCTGGAAGAGGGCATCAAAAGGTCCGCGATATTTACCGACTCCCGCAGTGTGGTGGAGACTCTGTCCAATGGACTATTGAACAGAGATCTCTCATACCTCATCCTCGCACTGAAAAACAAGCTGAGGTCAGCATACGTGCAGAATTTAGAAGTAGTCATTGTTTGGGTACCATCTCACGTTGGTATCCTGGGGAACGAAACAGCGGACCTGCTGGCGGGGGAGGCCGCTCGTCAGGGGGAGTCAGTCGACTATCTTCCTCCCCATACTGACCTTTACTCGCTTGTAAAGGAGAAATATTTCTCCGACATAGAAAAATATCTGCTCGCCCAGTCGGAGATCAGAGGCGCACAATATTTTAGTCTTTATCCACCTTTCGCGAGGAAACCGTGGTTCGCGGGGCTCGACCTTAGTCGAGCAGAAATTACTACTATCTGTAGAATAAGATCTAATCATTATAACTTAAATTTCAGCCTCTACAGATGTGGCATTGTCCGACGTCCTGACTGTCTTTGTGGATTGCCCTACCAGGACATTAATCACGTCCTGTGGTCCTGCCCGATGTTTGCATGTCACCGTGTCCGGCTGTTACAATTGTTGGGAAAGGTTCTGGAAACGCCTCCTCCCTATGACGTATTCACTATCTTAAAGAATCCTACTACTAATATCATTATTCCAATAATGTCCTTCCTACAAAGCTCGGAGCTGCTCATATAATTTTTCATAGCCGAGCTATAACTGACCATACGTGCTCACCTCTCTTCTTACGGAATTCACGTGACCTATGAGGATATCTGGCAGCATGGGCGCAATACAGATTGCCCGGTGCCACTAACGGAAAAAGAAAGAAGAAGAAGAGATCGTCTTAAGTTCGAGTTTGGAATGCTACGCAACTATTTGATTGGTTGAATGAGGTCTTAAATCAACCTCGGACCAGACTTAAGACAATCTTAAATATAAGATCGGACTATGGCCGGTATTCATAGTTCGATCTTATATTTGAGATCGTCTTAAGTTCGAGTTTGGAATGCTACGCAACTATTTGATTGGTTGAATGAGATCTTAAGTCAACCTCGGACCAGACTTAAGACAATCTTAAATATAAGATCGTCTTAAGTCTGGTCCGAGGTTGACTTAAGACCTACTTCAACCAATCAAATAGCTGCGTAGCATTTCAAGCTCAAACTTAAGTCCCGATCTACAATAGGTAATTTAAGCTCTAAGCCTTAAGAAATTGACCAATTACAGTCGAGTATTCTCTTCATACTTGACTGTGATTGGTCAATCTCCTAAGGCTTAAAGCTTAAATTGCCTATTGTAGACCCGGCCTAAGACGATCTCAAATATAAGATCGGACTATGAATACCGGCCTATGAATACCGGCCTCTGTATTCTAGGGACACTAGTCCTCCCATGTAGTACTTCTCTCTCTACAGCGGGCGCTCGCCTGTCTATCGCGATGCTCAGTCCAGTGTATATGTCGATGCCACGAACGTATGCAGGAAAAATCGTAAACACTGCGGCAAAGCTTTGATTAGCTGTTTCTATAATGCACTCTCTATTCCGCACTTCTATTTCGCACCATGTGATTTCAGCCTTAGATCTAAAAATATACACCAATCAAAGATCGCGCAGCGTCAAGGCCACTGAATATAGTTATACTGGAATGAGCACACCCATTGTTAACACTGGTTTGGAAGAGAACTGAGAGAGAGGATATGAAATCTATTGCTCTCTCTTTCTAATGTACTTTCTGCGCATGCTCAGTTCCCCTTGTGCAATAAGTTAGAAAGAGACAAACATACTTTCTTTCACTCTAACCTCTAACTAATTGTACTAGTGCAGCAGTGCAGCTGAAAAGAGCAGACCCCTTATCTCCATGCTTTCTATTAAAAACGTTTAACAATGTTTAATTCATAAGTTTATTATCAACAGAATAAATATCTGATAAATAAAAGAAATAAATATTTTAAAGAAATCTCGATAAACGTTTAGTTTGATGTGCCGCTTTAAATTGAACAAAAGTATAAAAACTGTAAGAAGCAAAACATGAAAACTAATATGGAAAATACAAAAGGTTTTAAAAGTAAGTCATATCATTATTCTACGTATATATATTTGAAAAATAGAGATTTTTTAAATTGGATATATATATATGTATGTATATGTACTGGATTATGTTCATATTAACTTTTGTTTCGGATTATAGCATTATGGATTTGTTTCGACGCAAACGATTCAGATAAACATCAGTTGTTTCTTAAGGAACACTCTGTAAGAAATCAAGAACCTGAATATCCCAGGAATCACACTCTCTTTGTATTAAATATACCACCATATGCAACTACTGACTGTTTGAAACATGCATTTATCAAGCTTTGTGGAGATATACATCTTATTACATTTTCAAAAGCAAAAGGATTCAAAACAGCATACATTGTTTTTAAAAAAGAATCTTCTTTGGATAAGGCACTTGAACTGTCAGATGATTATGTCATCACATTAAGTAGTGATGAAAATATGTGTCTCACAGGATTAAGAAGTGAGTTGTATTTTATTTTATATTATAATAGCAGTAATATATTTTTTTTATTGAATTATATTTTTTTCTAATAATTAATTTTTTAAACAGAATGGTGTAAAAAATACAATGATTCTTTGTACAATGAGAATGTAACAAAAAAACAGGCTGAGGAATATTTAACTTTGTATGACAACGAAATAAAGAATCGTATTGAACAGATTGCAGAAGAGGATGATGATGGTTGGGTAACCATAGCAGGTGGAAAGAAAAGGGGACAATTTGCACCATCTAGGAAAGAATCTACCATTGGGAAGGTGCAAGAAAAGGAAGAACAACGCAAGAAAAAGAAGCAATTACTTAATTTCTATACTTTTCAAATTCGAGAGACAAAAAAACAGCGTAAGTATAACTTTAAATCACAAGATTTTATATCAATAAATAATAAGTATCAATAAGTAATAAAAAATTTCTTTTAGAGATATATTCAATTTATACTGTTATGTTGTTTTTAGAATTAGCAGAATTACGGAAAAAGTTTGAATTGGATAAACAGAGACTGCAGGAATTGAAATTAAAACGGACATTCAAGCCATTTTAGGTTAAATTAAATATTATACGGAATAGGTAAATATTGTATAATATGCAAATCTAATAAGAATACATCTTTTTATATACAAACAATAATTACTAAAATGCTGAAATTAAATTACATTATCGTCACATGATGCCTCAAGTTGCTTTAGTTGCATAAGTCTGTAATGTCCATTCAATTAAGAAATGTTGATATGATAATGGTTGCAAAAGCGCCAATAATTCTTCTGTAACAGATATTGGAGATATGTATTATATACATAAAAGTATTAATATATTATTCTTATATATAAAAGTATTAATATATTATATTATTCTTATATATAAGAAACATACGTTTATTTCCATAAATACAATTTACAGACATAGCAGCGCTGACTGCTTGCGCGAGTCGTTCCATGGCTAAATCGCGCGAAGCCATGTCTATGTTTGTGCGATTTTGCAAGTTTGTCGTCAATAAACGTGTAGTGGATGCTAAATGCTGCGCTGATATCGCATGCTTGTTGTTACCACTATTATTTAGACGTAATACTGAATCCATGAGCAACTGTTGAACTTTTGAATGAAATTTTCGCGTCTCCTCTTGACTTTCTGTAGTTCCCATGGCATCATGACGTAGAGGACTTAATATGCACCATCTGGAAAGAAAAATAATTTGACATTAGATTCTTTTATTTATCACTTTTGTATTGCAAGAATTATAGCACACAAAATACCTGAACAGGCCTGCTATAGGAGTTATCGGTGTCATTGGAATCCCACCCGTGGGCAATGCTGGATTGTCCATTAAGAGAGTCAATAGTAAACTTGGATTTTCATCAATCCATTCACCTACCAATCTGAGTAACTCCGTAGGCGGATCTTTATCCTCATAAACTTCACCTATCGCTGTTAATAAGTTTGCAGTAAAATGTGGTGCTAGTACAGGTAGTTGCTTTAGCTTATCAATAGATTTTGGAGTAAGCACAAAATAGTCATTGAGTATATGCCTCGCCAGTCCCACACTTTGCAACGAGGTTGAGCCCAATTGCTGCATCCAGATGCCAGCTGCATTCAGAATAGCTTTGTTTTGTGTGGCAATTGCCAAAGACACCAGGTTACCTAAAGTCTTATACCTGAAACTGTCTGCTGGGAAGAGCGATAAAAAAAGGGCATTACGTACTGCAGGTGTGCCACCTGGACTTTGGAAGAAGTCACTCATAATCTCTATCAGTTGCAATTCTTGTATTGCCATGGTCATGTTACGTTTTTTTCGCTTCTCTATCTCTCCAAACACAAACTCTGATATCAAATCCATTTGCAGGTCAACTTGCTTGCCAGGTCTGCAGCAGAGTATTTCTTGAATAAAAAAAATTGTGAATATATAATATAGTTATTTCAGTTGCTATATTCAGTTTTAGGTTTTTTATTTTAAAGTACAATACTCTTAATACTAAAGTTTTAAATTTAATTTCAATTTTAATGTAATTTTATTTTTAATTTTGACTATCAAAATTATCTTTTAATTTTTTATTTTCATTTCGTACATCTTTGATGCTACTCTTTTATTTATTTCTTTTAAACTTTAATGCTATTATATTATTTTTGTTTATATATATAATATTACTTAAAATTACAGTTAAATATATAATATATAATATTACATAAATTAATATTATATAAATATATATTATTATATAATATTATATAATATTATATAAATATATAAAATATATAATATTACTTAAATATATATATATTTAACTGTAATTTTAAGTAATATTATATATTATTAATACATATATTACTAATATATATATATTATTAATATTAAATTTAATATCATATTTTAATATCATTGTCGTAACTATTCTTGTAATCTATTTTGTGATGATTTCAATTTTATTTTAGATATTGTCAGACACTATAAACCTTTAGATATCTAAATCCATTTATAGTACACAAAAATTACAAATGTAAAAAAGCCAAAGTCGAAAGGCATGGATAAGAAGTAAATAATAATCCAATTATTATTTGATATTAAATATTAGATTAATAATGATTCAAAATTACAGTTTACATGCTTATGTTATTATTTACTTATGTTTATTATTTACGACATAACCTATGCTACTCATACCGATTCTGCATAGAGCCTCCCTGGCGCAATAAGGAAAATCCAACTTTCTGAGAGCCTGCTTAACATCATTCCCGGTCATTATAATGGAGATAATTGTGAACTATCCAAGAAATTATTCAATTTTCAGCATTCGCTCTCTCTAGCACAGACGATTATATATATATGTATAATACATGCGCATGTATGTGTTAGAGAGTATATTTGATATATGTAGACCTTTGATTATATATCTATGGACTGCTAATGGGCAGCCATTTTGTGATCCAAGATCTCAGCGCCTCCAGGTACCAAATGGCCAAAAGAAGAACTAATAATCATAAACGCAATTAATAAACAAATATAACTTTTTGTTATAATTTCCAATTATTGCTCTTTAAATAATATTGTTTTCGTAAAATTTTTTCTAATATAATTTAAATACGATCTTCTAGTAAATTCTTTCCCGAAATAAAATTTTATTTTTAAATACAATTCTATAATTGTTTTTATTAATTCATACTTGTGATCCATCAAGTCATTATTCATTAAATGCATATTAAAATTGTTAAAAACTTTGTTAAGATTTATATTTCTTATTACATTCACACTTATTTTTTAAAACGCTTTATATTTTGAACTATTACATAATTTTACATAACAATAGCGAACCATTTTTTATTTTTTTAAAAGCTTATAATACTTTTTTCACTTTCTTTTCACTCATTTCTCTTAATTCACAGTCAGAACCACAAAACTAGTCAGACCATATGATTCTTAATTATTAGTTCTTGTTTTGGCCATTTGGTACCTGGGGACGCTGAGATCTTGGATCGCATTGCTTCAATGGGAAACGTGAGGCATTAGCAGTCCACAGATATATAGTCAAAGATGTAGACATTGTGTGTGTGTGTTCATTGACATATGTACAGCGCCAGCGCGTCGCGGCGCGAGCATAGCGCGGCCTGGCCGCCCAGTGGCGCCACCAGCGAGTAGGTTGCGAAGCGCATTATTAGTCAAAACAATCTGCCGAATCCGCCGATCTATTTTTAGGTCGCGCCCACCGGAGCTACGGTGCACAACGCTGTTTTCGTCCCCCGCAGACCCCCCGAAAAAAGGTTCGCGCGGCCGGTGGCCCTTCCGCGACGCCGCTCGTTAGCCGCGGCAAAAGGTTCAACGACCCCCTCCCCCCCTCGCTGCGCGAGATTGTGACAGGCCAGGGAGCCGTGCGGCCGAGCGCGGCCGGCCATGTTTATACCGTGGTGAGAATTTTCCGTGCTGACCGACCAGCCGCGCCGTGAGCCAAGAGCGGGTCTCGTCTCCACGTGCGCCGCCACCAGCGGCGTGATCCCCGTTCCAGCCGTAGAGCGACCCGGGAGTCGGCAGCGTAGAGCGTCCGCAGAGCGCGACGATGGAGTCCTCTGAGAGAGGTGAGTTTCGCCCGAGAGGATCCGCGTGAGAAAGCGGCGACGATATTCCGACTATGACATAAATCGCGCGACGCCCTCCCGGGGGGCAATGGCAGTGTCAGGGTCGAAACGGAACTGGTTCAGTGACCGCGTTCGCCTCGCGTTCGACGTACGAGCGCGGGTCGCTTTCCGCTTGTCGCAATACTCGTTGTCATATGTCATCTGCGCTCGACCCGATTTAACCGCGACATCGGACGGCGAACGACCGTCGGGGTCGCTGCGAAAATCGCCATCGCCGCGGATCGAAATCTATGTCACGCGGCGCGCTTTTAGCCGCGACTGTACCGTAGCGCGCGCGTACAGTCCCCTTCGTCCCTCGCGCGCCCACGGAGGGGACGTACAAGACTACTATCTCGCTCGCTCGCTCGCTCGCGTTTGTTCAACAAGGATAGCGAACGAGCGAGATACATCCTTAAGGTAACATTTCATGAGCAGTGAAAAGCAGCAGCATTTTATAAAGTAACTAAGTTCAGTGAAGTTTCTGCTGTTTCAAGTTCATCCTATTGAACAGCAAAGCAGTAATTTCATGGGCAGCGCAGCAACTCTGTGAAATCACCAAACAATGCTAGTTAGTTACTAAACTGCCGCTGCTTTTTATTGCTTATGTAATGTTACCTTTAGGAGCATTATCCTGCGGATGATCGTCGGCGACGATCATATTCGACAGGATTTCCCCGACGATCATACCAGACGCCGTTGTATCTAGTTGCGCAACGCGTTTGCGTTTTTCACCGTAGCTGCGTGTCTCTTTAACCTACGTGAAGGGAGGTCCGGGCCAGCGCGATGAATCTGAGTCACGATGTCGTTTGACAACGGCGAGTGCGTGCACGTGAGAATCACCGTCGCCCGATCGAGTACGACGGCTGGCGGCCGCGTGCCATGCCATACCGTGTCGTGTCGTGCCGTGCCGTGCCACGTCGCGACGTGGCGACACCTGCCGACCGCTCGTGCGCGCCCTACCTCAAGTCACCGCGAATTAACCCTCCCGCCACGACGTCGTCGTCGTCGTCGTCGTGCAACCCCCATGCGCGATGGTACGTCGCAGCCCCTATCCAGCCCTTCCACCATGAATCGAGGCGAGAGCTTTTCACTTTTGCCGGAGTGACGTTTTGCGCGAAGATAAAAACGCCCGGCAAAAAGGTCGAAAGTAATTAGTATTTTATCGTTGATGCACTATGACGTGAAGTTGGATACATCTCGAGATATATACATATGGAGGATAATAAGTTCTCTTGTTTATTTTATGCTGAATGCGACCTGCGCTCGTTATTATCAGAATTATGTGGAGCGTTTGTTTAATTATCGGAGTAGTTTTTGCTGAGAAAAGGCGTAGAATTTAAAGTAAAAGTTTAGTTGAGAGGATAAATCTGCTTGGATGAATGAAATTAGCGTTTTAATCGATCGATTAAAAAGTTAAATATGGAGTTCGTTGAATAATGTTTGATGATTTAATTATATTCGTGCGCATTTTTTGCATCGATTATTGACTCAGCGCGTAATTTATTCGGTAAGCTTGATATTTTGTGCGAAGGCGATCGTCATTTATCCGAGCATTTTTTCGAAATTTGCGAGTCTATCCTATGATAGATTCGTATCATTCGAATTGGTACATTTATTATTGGTGCCGCGATTTTAATTTGCCAGTTTAGCGCGGCAAATCTGGTATAATATAAGATCTGGCGTAATATAAGAAGATTCGCGCGCTGATAAGTATTTCGATCTTCTATTTCGATATTTAGGGAAAGGTGATAGGGCTTTCGAGTGAAATAAGTTTGATCGGTTTATGATAAATTTAATTTGTCATAAACATATGTTCGATCGAAAATGGATTTTGTATATTATTAATATAAATTTTAGGATGTCTAGCCTCTGGAAAAGTATGGAAAGCATTCTCAGAAATTTCCTATAGAGAATATGAATTTCTTAGGAATATCTACCTGAAAAAATAAGGAAATTCTCATGGAATTTTACTGGAATTCGGGATATTTTTTTAAAAAAATTTTTTCTCTGAGTTAATTTTACTTTTACATTGTAAACAATCGGCAAGACAATTATTGGTTATATATTATATATTATGTGTTTAAAATATATTATATGAATATATATTTGTTTGTTTACATATTCAATATTTTAAAACACATATAAAACATTGAATATGAAGTATATGTTCTTTATGTAATTTTTAGTGATAAAGAAATGAAAATTTTACACAAGTAAAAAAATGTTTATCTATTTGAATGCATTTACAAATCTAACACTTAAATTTTGGATCTAAAATGACCCCGCACATTTTATATGAAGAAAATGGCTGGAGGAAAGCTTCGGTCAAATTGGCTGAAAATGAAATATGTCGTAGTTTAGATGGTGCTGATCAAAAGTTTCCTCGGGCAAAAAGTTCAAAAATAAAAAATGAAAGATACGATGATTTGAAGTGGGTGGTATTGAAGTTTAAAAAACGCTTATTTTTGAATATATAAATTAAATATATAACATACAAAACATATAATATACATATAAGAAATTTATTTTAGAAAATTGCACCAAAAAAAATCTTTAAAATATTTCCCTAGAATATTATTCTTTACCTGGAAATTTAAATAAAGATATCTAGAAGAGGAAAAAAGTTTCAGGGAACTTTTTATAAGAAATTAATCGTTTTGAAAGCGATTAGTGACATTGTAAATTTTGTCTTGGGTTACTTGAATTATTAAATTAATCAATGAAATAGTTCGAATGAACGTTTGATTGATTAATGATTAAAGTGAAGAATCTTATGCCTTAAAACTAAAATAAAATGGAATTATTTTATATTATTTATATTATTAATTATACTCTGTTATTTACACCTTGTATTTTCATTTTGACTTTAAAGCATTTTCTTCACCTTGATTAATCAATCAAATTTACTCGAATTCTATTCCATTCATTAATTTAATAATCCAAGAATCCCTAGTAATCCAGAATGATGTCACAATATCATTAATCGCTCTCAGAGAATATCAAACTTGCTTCGTTCGAAAATGTCATGAGTAACATTGCGTTCGCGGGAGTACATTTCTAAGTTTGGTTGTGTGTGTGTGTGTGCGACCCAACCGCGCCGACCTTTCTGCATTCATTCTGGTATCCACGAGATCACGGTCGCGACTCCTCGTTCCTTTTTCTCGCTATTTTTTGCATACCATCGCATCATCCCTTATATTGCTTTTCTCTCGTTTTTCAAGACATCACGCTCGCAAGCGCAGCAGTCTATTTTCCGAGATGATTCTCACGGATTTTATCTTGGAAGATGATTCGCGTGTGAATTGATACACGATCAAGTTAATGGAAGATAAGAAAATATCGCTCCCTTTCGTTTGTGAAAAAATGTCTGAGAATATATATTCTCTTGGAGATAAGATATTTTCTTTAAAATGTGCTAAAATAATAATCGTCGAGTTTCGTTTGAGACATCCTGTATATTTCTATCGGTCAGGAAATAACGTTCGAGAGGGAAAAAAGATTTTGAAAGTTTGGAGAAGGATATCTCCCGTATTGAAAGTCCTTAGGGAACGGGAAAAATCGCATGTCCCAGAGTTAAAACGAAACGAGTAGCCGGTGATCGGCGTCCCTCAAAAGAAAAAGGGACGGAAAGCCGGCGGGGAGGGGGGAGGGAGGGTAAGACGGAAAAAGCGCAGGGTATTGCTGAGTCTGCTGCATCTGCGAGTTTTCTGACCTACCTGCAGAAGGATCCAAAAAGAAATTCCCCGAAATCCTTTGTCCTGGAATTTAACAGGCAACGCGCAGGGCTAACGTCGCCCTTTATTCTTCATTTTTAATCCGCGTACTCTATCCGCATAGTGTTTTGTTCTCTTTTGCGAACCTTCTCTCTCTCTTTCTTTCTCTTTCTCTCCTCTCCCTCTTGTGGTCTCTTCCTCGTTATATAAGTCCAAGGACGAGCTACGCTGCTATATGTGTTTCTCCATCCTTCTCTTCACCTCCTCTTTCGCTTTTTTGTCCTTCTTCCATCTCCCTTTCCTTGTCTTTCTCTCTCTCTCTCTCCCTCTCTTTCTTTCTCGCTTGCTCGCTCGTTTGCTTCCTCTCATTTGCAACGCTGTCCTCCTGCACCATGCACCGCAGGCATCAGACGATGCCTTATACGCTCTGCTTCTGTTATAGTCTTCTAGCTTCTACTCCTCTGCTTCGGCATTCGGGATCTTTTAAAGCGAGTATCGCGCTTTCTGAACAAAATAAGGGGGAGGGAAAGAAAAATAAGGAGAAGCAGTAAGCGAGATGCAAGTCGTAAAATTCTAAAGTGCAACAAGGTTCTTTTGCAGGACGTTTACCAGCAAAGGTTATTATAGACTGTATATAGGGTGTCCCGGACAAATTTAGAAGCGTTTTGTGCGTATCTTTATTTAGAAATCAAGCAAAGAAAATAATTAATCATTAAATTATAATTATATTTAATTTAAATTATTGCCCTTTTAGACTAATTTAGGAAAAGGATTTGAATGATTCACTGCGTATATGCACAAGCTGACTGTTTCGTCTGTTATTTGCAACGTTTTCTCCTCTTTTTCGAATTCGATGTTTGAACTTCGATGAACGAGTCAGTTAGCAAGCTGGTCGAACATCTGCCAGAGTCATCTCGGTTGCGCTAAACTGTAGGTCCTGTGTATGCTCATACGATGCTTTCCTAGAAGTAATACGTATCGATAGCGATCGGAAGAAGGGTTTACTGTAAAGAAACCTCGAAAAACACGATAATGTGAAACGCACATTTTCGTCTCGTTGTTAATAATTTTTCACCAAAATCGTGAAGAGTCCAAACAATCAACTTCGTTAATCGTCATTAAAATGGAAATTCTCAAATGTCATATCGATTCATAGGAATCGCGCATGGTGTCCACCAATCGCGAATACATCACCATATCAAATCGTTGTAGTCGAACGGATTTCGTA